GTGCTCCTTGGGTTTTGTCCATCATCCGCTGTGCGCTCTGCGCGAGGTGGGGCCTCCGGCCTTGATGTCCTGGAACTGCACATGGAGCTCCCAAAGCGCCCCAAAGTGGAGGCCACACGGCACGCGACCCCACGCAAGGACGGCTCCTTCTCCAGCCCAGCCTCCCATCGGCTTCCAGGAAGGAGAGCTCGGCTGTCACCAGCCACCGAAATGTCTCGAAGGCAGAACCGCTGTGGGAATCCATGGCAGTTGTCACACTGTAAATAAAATTATGTAAAAAGAAAAAAAAAATCATTTTGCAGTTTTGATTAGAAGGCGTTCAAAGCGCTGCTGCCATCAGGGAGGATTTACCCAGACTATTTTAGGAGCTGAGATTCCTTCAAAAGGGTGTTTTTAACAGTAAACAAATGGTTTTGAGCTCATCATGATGGAAGCAGTAGAAACAGTCACTTCAGCCACTTGAGCGTTGCTTCTGGGTATTTTCCACTGAACGGCTGATTATTTAATAAAAGCAGCCTCCTCCTTAGGCATAAGGGAACAGCAGCTGGGAGCAGCAGGACCCTGGCACAGACAAGCAGCCTTAACCCAGCTCTGCTCCGTCCCCTGGTTCCATCTGCTTTGGTGCCGTGAAGGCGTTTGGGCATTTACGGAATGGCCTCACCTGCTCTCACAGACACCGACCCGCACGGCCGGGCTGGGAAGGGACTGATCCAGGAGCCCACGCCCGGGGATGCAGCCACGGCGGTCCCAGCACAGCAGCCAGCAGTCACTTCAGGACGTTTTCACCCGACTCGCAAAAATATCTCGTTTTCCAGGGTATGGAAACAGCAGCAACCCTTCGTGAGGCTCCGAGGCTGCACCGCGTCACGCGTGCCCTGGTTACGGCGCCGCTCCTGCCAGCCCCAGCAAGCAGCTCGCGCTTCGCGTGTCACGCGGCGAGCGCACCCACTTTTAGTTGTCACTGGGGGAATGAAGCGAGACAACGCATGTGAAGAGGGGAATGTTAATTCCAGATCAGCAGGAGCTCGACACGGACACGTGCACCTGCTGGTATGAAATGGGAGCGTTAGGATGCAGCCAGTGTTGCGCTCACCACTTTACAAGTTTGCGAACGCTGCCCCGTCTGGCAGTTAAGCCGGTCTGAACAGCAGCTGCACTTTAGTGAGGTCTAAACCTGCACCACCTGCAGCCAAAGGAAAAGAAAACGCTGCTTACTACCCATGAAAACACCTCAGACTGTTATTATGTGAACTGCAAATTAACTCCCTTTCCGTTGCTTCTTGTTTTCATATGTCATTAAGTTTGGACTCTACACATGCCCCTTCCTGCTACGTGACCCACAAGCACTGAAGCTGCTGACGGCCACGAGAGCATCACTCAAACCCTCAGCAAACGTTTTCCTACAGCCCCTGTAGCATGGGGAAACCCGTTAAGACGGAAAAGAATGAAATAAACCACCGCAGGTGAGAGGCAGCAGACAGAAAGCAGCGACGTGGGGCCTGGCACTGCTGGGGCTCGCACGGGGAGCGCGGCTGGGGGCAGAGCGTGTCCTCAGCACCGTGTGCGTGGGCAAGGCCGCACTCTGCTGCCACAGTCGGGCCACCCGTGAGAGCCTCCTCCTCTCCCCGTTCAGCAGAGGTTTCCCTCGGGTTAGGAAGTATCCCCCCAAGCAGGGCAGTTGTAGCAGTTCTGTGTGTGGAGACAGACACACAGAGCAAGAAGAGCAAAGAGGAGCAGCTGTGGACTGAATCGTGGTGAGGTTTGAATCAGGATGTGGTTTTACCAGGCAAGTGCTTGGGCTTTGAGAGTAACACCGCTGTCGTCCTGCCCTGTGTTCACTCACTTCAGCTGCTCGAGAAGCAAAGCCACAGAGCAAGATGTGCTCTGTGCTTCACTCCATTTAGCAAAGTTTGGATGAAGTCCTTGAGGCTGTGATTCCAGGCACTTTAAAATCTGCGAAGTTTCCCAGAAAAATACACGTAAAACGCTGACCGTTCTTTGGATATTGAAAGTGAACAGCAAAGGAAGGAAAGAGCTTCCCCCCACCCCCTCCCTGACACCAGGGCCCATTTCAGTTCCTCGATGAGAGGAAGCCTCCCACGCGCAGGCTCCCCTCCTCCTCCTCCTCGGGAGCAGGTCAAGCGCGGGGCTCAGCTGCAGTCCTGTCAGCAGCGCTCAGAGAACCAGCTCCGGCACAGTGAGGCGACATGACAAACGTCACGTTAAATAAAGAGGAAACTTTATTTTAAGCCCATTTCTATGCATCATAAAGGAGCAGAAAGAGGGGGACAGTGTGCTTGCTTTGGGGCCCAACGCTACCACCCTGCAGGGCCCTGAGGCAACTTCAGGATTTCAGCCTCATCACTACATCGGGCAATGTGCGACACTTTGGCAGGGAGAGGTCTCATCTGCCAACTCCAGAGGTCAAAGGAGGACAGAAAGGTGCAATGGAGATGGTCTTTCAAACATGAAGGAGTCGATCCAGCCCAGCACATTGCATTTTCTGCACAGGGGAGCTCTGGTGATGCAGGGGTCCCCGCTGGGTCACACTGGCCACGTGCACCACAGCAAGAGCCGCCCGCGGCGCCGCTCCTGCCCGAGCGGCTTTGGCCCAGCTCGCTGAGCAGCTGCCAACTCGGGCCTCCCGACAAGGCACCTTCGGTCCGCGCTTGGTTCCCGCTTTCGGACTCATCCCTGAGCTGCGGAGCAGAGCCTGGCAGCCTTTCACAAAGAAACTTGTCAAAACACTATTTCTGGCAGCTACAGTCATGACTGTTTTGAAACAGTGACTTCTTCTCCCTGCCCTTAACAGCTCTGCAAGCCCACATGTTCATCAGCTTCCCAGCTACAGCTGCTGGCTTTTTTTTTTTCCCTTAAAACCCCCAAGTTACACCCAAATGTGTCTGTGTCTCAGGAATTTTCGCAGGACTCCTCCTGCCCTTCAGCAGACCGAGGGTGCTTTCCTGGGTTGCCAGCTCCCCTTCCTCCCCCCTGCTTCCTCTTCACTTGGCCCTGAGCCTCTGCTTTGAGAGTCTCAATCCAGAAGGCTTCAAAGGAGCCCGGAGCCTGATATCCCGGCTCTTGGGGATCAAGGGCATCTTTGCTAAGCAAGATGCATATGGCAGGAATGTTTCTCTTCACCGTCAAGGCATCGAGGCCAGCTTCGGGCACAATGGGCTCCCAGATCTCCTCAATCTGTTTGAAGAGCACTTTGGTGATCTGGTGGAGTTCCTTGAGCCTTCGCTTCATGATCTCCACGCAGGTGATGGTCTTGCTGACAGCCTTGCCCGAGCCTGTGAAAAGGATCTGCCGCACCGAGTCCAGCTCCATCTTGCCGATGGCGTAGCCCATCAGGTTTCTGATTTTGCTCCCGTCTTTCACCTTCATTTCAATAATATCGGGGGGTAGGTCAGCGAAAGGAAGAGGACAAGGTTTTTCCACAATCTTTGTCTTCTTGTAGTTCTCCATTCTGCAGTGCTGGAAAGGAAAACACACCCATTAATACTTGTATTTATGGCTCAGAAAAGCAGGCTCTGCAAGTTCACCCATCCTGTACAGTAGAATCCACGACCTTTCAACCTGCGCCAGCTTCCCAAAACTCTGTAACGGAAGCAGCAGCTTCATTACTCATCCCAGTGTAGTAAAACCAAGGAACTATCTCAAGCTGCATCCAGCCCAGTCATAAGGAAAGGTATCGTCTATTATCTGGAAGTAATTTCTGCAGCTTAAATTAAGGATCACTTGTTTTCCAGCCTAGAGATCGGAACTATTTTCCAGCCACGAGAAGAAACTCACAGCAGGTCTAGACAAACAGCTGCACTTGACAAACAACTCTTGTCATTGCTGCTCAAGTACTACAATCTTTACCCAAAAGGGCTTTATAGGCTATCAGAAACAGAGACCGCAAAAGCCCATGGGCAAAAAATCAACAGCAAAGCCCTAATGAAACCTGCTGTGGAGTCACTCAGATCCCAGCCCTCCTGTGCGTACGCCTGCAGCAAGAACTCGGAAGGGCGACGGTAGAAGGAGCAGGTCTAGTTCTGTGATTCCAAGCAGAATGGAATGAAAAAACACAAGCAGCACGAACACCAAACACGGCGAGCCCCAGAACAAGCGGGTGCGCTCGGGTTACGTGGAAGAGGCTGCACCGGCTGTGGAGTCACTCAGATCCCAGCCCTCCTGTGCGTACGCCTGCAGCAAGAACTCGGAAGGGCGACGGTAGAAGGAGCAGGTCTAGTTCTGTGATTCCAAGCAGAATGGAATGAAAAAACACAAGCAGCACGAACACCAAACACGGCGAGCCCCAGAACAAGCGGGTGCGCTCGGGTTACGTGGAAGAGGCTGCCCAGCCGGGGCACAGGGCCGGGGTGCGCT